GGATACTTAGGGACCAAGATATCTAGTACCCAAGTGTGCGTGGTGCGGGTACTGGAGGTTGGTCTCAAACTGGCATGTATGTTGTCACCCGGTAGGTGCTTTCATGAAAGGATACACGATTGCCAACATGGTGTGGGTGTTTGGGTCAATCTGCTGGTCGCAGGGCTGGACTGCATAAGTAATTATTAATCCATCTTAATTATTGACTCATGCCGGCCAAAGTACAAATGTTTGGAAGTGTAAACCCATACGGTATATATGGCATTGTGTCACAATCTGTATTGAGGTGGGGAGTTTAAGATGGAATAGTTGGAATAAAGTATGGTGTGACTTGTTGTGTATGTCCGACTAAAGTCCAGTTTGTATCTTAGCGATAACACCCATTCGAAAAGGCGTTGTTGTATGTGAATTGAGGGTAGCAGGTCCACCTGTGGGACAACGTTTACCACCACCTATATAATTGCACATACAGTGGAAAGTGTATTGCTATTTGTTTTTAAATAGTGAACGCAACCTACTACTCGGGAGTACTGCGGAACCGTTGGCACTGACCCGATGGTCGAGTGCGCGGAGTACTACCATAGCGTGCCCATTAATGATTGCCATCTACTATCATTTGTGACAATTTGTTGAGGACTTCCATGTTGCGTGTATCTTTGGACATCATTCTTGTTTTCTTTCTACTTTTGAGAATGGTGCAACAACCCTTATATAGCGCCCCCCCCCCCCTCCCCTCCGACATGGCCAAAAAAGGCTGCTATTGGGGGCCGGGGGCACTGCGGTTTGAAGGGGTTTACCCTATTAGGGTGCTTAGTGAGCAGCCAATGTAAAGGGTACCATGGCCGCTGGTGTAGGGGTACACTAGCCACCCGTGTAGAGGGTACCCTGGCTACCAATATAGGGAGTACACTGGCCACTAGTGTTAGAGGGTACCTTGGCTGCCAATGTAGGGGTATGCTACACCTAACCTACCGGGCCCATACTAGCTTTCGGTGCCAGCGACTTGGTGGCAGTGCTGAGTTGCAGGCGCTGAGGCCTGTCGCAGTGAAATAAAATACTACCAGAATAGTGATAAGGCGTTTAGAGGGTCAATAAACCTAGACAAGTCGCTAAACAGGGGTCGCTGAACCGTGCCCCCCTTGTACTAGCGTGCAGTCCTGCTGCACAACAAAGTTGCATGAAGTACTACAGACATGTTGACAAGCCAAAAAGGCATTGCTATTGCAGGCCGAGGCGGCTATTGGGGGCCGCTATATAGGGAACACTATTGTACTTTGGTCTTTTTGTTTATTGTTTTTGCTCTCGAGAATTCATGCTGCTCGGAAATCTGCGCCGCTGAAGAGTGGTCATGCGAATCATCTAAAGTATAAAAGTACTATTTCCTATATTGAATTATGCCTATATTTCATCTTTATATTGCGTTATGCGAAATGCAATGTTTGGGGGAAAAATTGGCGTTGAACGAGCAAGCCTCTCTTCTGCTCAACACTACATTGCCATTGGTGTGGTGTTTGCGGAGAGGGGGTGATGGACAATTCCCAGGAGGTAGCACTGGGCTGTGCATACTTGCCCCTTGTGGCATGGTAGGTGGGTAAAAATGCCCATATGCATATCCTAGGAATGGACGATCCACATCCTGGGTATGCATGGCCTGGACGTGCCACCATTTTCCAACATATGCATGTTGCACGCACTTCATACGTGGTTTTCTCATGTGCGCGGATGTGGAGTCCCGACCCATCTCCTCCTGTGCAGTCCGCGTGGCCCGCATGTGAGAATATATTAGTCCCTCTGCCTTTTCCGTGAAGAGCCCTTCTTCCGATGGCAAGGCCAACCTGGGTCAGCGGGTCAGTGGTTGCGTTGTAGTGCCCGGGGCGTCAAAACAAAAAGGGATCTTCACGAAAAGAGAGCGCGACTAATTTCATACCTCCGCAGGTGTCGTCCGGGAACAGTATGCGCCGACGCGCAGGCGCCGCCAGCACACCCCAAATCGTGTTGCCTTGCGGTCCCCCGCCGTTTCTCGATATCTTGTGACCCTGTGGCCTTGAACACGCCCCATCGTCGCCAATGGAACCCGAACCCGGCAGGGCGGACTTTAGCCTCGAGGGACGCCTTTGCTGGGACGACGTCGCGGCACGCATCCGCGAAAACACCTACGAGAGTCTTAGGCGGCTGGGGCGATCGGCCGAACGGGCGAAGATGTACAAGGCCGGCAAGCAGGAGGTACCGCACGGACAGGATCAGGCGGCGGATTCTGGCGTCGCCTGTCTCGAGGCGGCCATTGGATTGAGCGAGCCGACTCTGTGTGAGTCGTCCGAGTGCATTTTGTTGAAAACTGACGAACAACAGCACTTAGCATCCGCGCGGCGATGTCGAGCGCAGCTTCTGCGTCGGAGTGTCCACAACGCGATCGGCACGAACGCGGGAATCCAGTTGAAAGCAACAGCAGAGCTTGCGGTGGCGGGTGTCATTGGTCGTTCACATGAGCGCGTTGAGACCGTCGATGACGTTTGTGGAGCCTCCCTTTTGCCGCCAAATGGCAATGCGTGCACAAGAGCAAGCTTCGGTGTTGCAAAAGGGACATCGCCTTGCAGATGTCAAGCGCTCTGGAATCGCAATTGCCTGCCGACGCGGTAGCTTGTCGACATATTGCTTGTAACTATACCAGTCTGTAGTGTTGCAACTTATATGACGACGGGAATTTTGTTATGTGACATAGTTTTGCTCATCGAAACCGGCTTGGCCTCAATAGCTCAAAGCTTGATTCCACTCCCCCAATTGGTGGAATGATCCTGACTGCACCCGCAAATTGTGTTTTAGTTGTGTGTTTATAGCCCACTTGGAAGGTGGCACTCAAGGTAAGACGTGCAGTTGTGCCTAGATTTGCGTGGCATCCCTCAGCAGCCTATATGAAGAACACCCCACAACAGCAGCCCCAACTGAGACTCTGGTAGACTCAAAGAGCCCCTGAAAAAAGCCCCTGTTTCATTGCAGCTCCTGGAGGAATTTGTGAGCATTGTGGATGCCATCAAAATCAACAAACTGGGCTTTTCATACACGTTCACAGATGGTACGTGTGTGAGACCATTGCAGTAAGTGGGGCTGTGCAAATAACCTCCAAAACTGTTGTAGACTTTGTGTTCTTGCCAGAGCAGGGCAATGTTGTTGTCTGTATGGGGCACATTTTCTCTTGTTTTCTCTAGGTATTGTGTCGCATCTGGTGGTGCTGCATTGCAATGAAATATGTCATCAATTGAATCAGCGTCCCGCATTGGTGATTTTGGATCGAAAAACTAAGTGTTGGCTGCTCACCTCACCCCAAAATTATGCTTTACAATGTGACCTCAGCCGTTGGGCTTATGTTATAGTCATCCTCACGACTGCAACAAGTAAAGAGCTCTTGCACCCTTGCAGCAGGATTGGCAAGCACCTATGAAGAAAGGGAGTGGTACATCTGCAGTCCATTGGGGATTGGGGTTTGTGTTGATGCACCAGGCCTGGACCTGTTTGTTGCACTTGTTAACGTTCATTGGGATGCATGAGTACTGTTGTTAGTCATGGGTGTGGTTAATGCAAAGAGCAAATGCGTCTGCATGTACAGCAATCAACAGACTGTCAACGTCATGGCAGGGGCTTGGTTATTCTAACAACCAGGTTGTTTCCTTCAGGAGGCAAGAAGATTGCTGCAGATGCACAACCAAGTGACAGCCAAGTAATTGCCTTTGCAGAGAATGTGCGTGCTGAGACTGGTGGCCCATCCTTGAGAGCTGATCCTGCCTGCTCCTGCCTGCTCCTGCCACTTGTGTTGGGTTTGGTGCCACTCCCTTTTGTGTAACAGGTTTTTGACCGAAAGGGACAAATTCGATGATGCTTGCGGGCTCAAACTCAAATGTGCCATAAGCTCTGGTTTGTGGTCTCTCCTGCCCATAGCAAGCAGTGATCTAGATTTGTGGTTGCTCTCCAGGACTTTCCCTATTCTTTAGAAGATGGCATTGAGCATCATGTCCTGTGGAGCACAGACTCGATGAGTGATCAACAAATATTGGAGGCAATAGCACAGCACAGAGACGGGTGGGAAGCCATCTGGTTTCGCAATCCTGACGGCCTTTCTTCTGTACCAGGGGTAAGCCGGACAGATTTTCTTTTTATTTGTGAGGTGCTTTGTTCCTGGATTTCCCACCTCCCCTCCCTGGAAGCCTAGACACTGCACGACTTTGCCACTTTCAGCCAAACTCGTAGTGGTGAACAGGGACTGCAGCAGATTTGGAACAGCCCTTGGCACTGCATACGAGGTGAAAAAGCTGTGATTTTACCATAGCTGGCAAGCATTCCACTCCATTCGCATTGCCGCCCTTTGCACAGTAATGAAAGCTACGGAGTCAGGAGTGTGGTAGTCGATCTGCAGATGCAACAAGGGGGTGCTTGGTGTGGGATTCCTGTTAGACGTAGTCTGAAAGAGGGATAAGTTGAAAAGGCACATATAATTCGGGCTGTGAGGAGCGTAGCTCCAGGGCGTATTCATTGTAGTATCTCAGTGTGTTTGTGCATTTCTCAGTGGCTTTGCCTATTTACAATACTTGCTCATGGGTATTGGGTTTCCTTCAGGTTTGGCACGTCCATGTGATCTCTCGGAGGTTGTCCAAGCCTCTATGACCCGGAGCACTATGTTTGAACGTTCATACCACAAGAACAATTCTGTGCGGCAATCTTAGATCTTGTTTAGTCTTCTTTCCCTACTGTGAATGCGGGGGTGGAGTGGGAGATGTGTGGTATGGGTGGGTGGGTGGTGATGGTGGTGGTGGTGGGTGGGTGAGGGGGGGGGGCCGTGCATGGTGGGCAAGTTGAAACGTTTTGGAGCACATTTAGCTACGACTTGAATGGTCATGTGCACAAATGGGTCCAGCTCTCACATCTGGCGTCGACTGCAGCAGTTTTTGTCCTCGTATGCATGCCATGTGCGTAGTGTTCCAGCGAGGTTGCATGATGGATGAACTTCATGGTGTTGTGATGTTGTGCTGTTTTGAAGAGACAACCTATTTGATTGTGCAAAAGGTGGCCGTCTGACATGGCAGCCATCCAGACGAAAATCCACAAAGCGCCAAGCCTTCGCGTGCCCCGCCTTTCAGCTCGATTTTTTTTTTTTTGCGTCGAAGGGGACGAATGTGGGGTCGTACAGCTCCCCCACGAACACGTCACCAGCGATTGCGCCACGGAAAATCCGGCTCAAACTGGCCTCCGGGCCTTGCACCTCCGGGCTCATGCAGAAACCCGGGACTTGAGTGAGAAACATGCAGGAAGTCGCTTCGAATCTCACAGAATCGCTTGGAAACCCATGCGCTCGAATGGCGAGATTGCAATGGGTGCGCTCTGCCGAAATCCGAGTGCAGCAGACCTCAAACTATTGGCTGTGAAGCCGATTTGGTCAGGGGGCGCGCCACGGCCTGTGTGCACGGGGCGCGCACGAGGAGAATGCCAACTGAGTGCTTACAACTTCATGGACTATGGTCCGTCCGTTCAGCCCCTCAGACACTTGGGCACAGCAGCATGTTGCCTGCAGCCCCAACGCAACACGGCAGCCACTCCCCAAATAACCTATCCACGTCGAAAAGGGCAGTACACCCCAATCTTGTACAGTTTCTATCAGGTCACGTCCAAACATGGCAGTTCATATCATTCTCACTCTCTTTTGCCCTCATACTCTACTATTTGCATCAAATCTGAGCGTGCTTTCGCAAACCTCATAGCATGCTCTTCTAATTCTCACATAACCCCCTCGCAACGCTGAGGTGGACATCGTTTCACTCCTTCGTCACCTTTCCAGCACATGCGCAGCACCACAATCGAATCTGTGCCACGACCTGAAAGGTTTGCAGGAATATTCGTTCACACGTATGGCTCTGCCTGCCCTTTTCCCACACTACAATGTACTGCTCACAAACAACATTGTGACGTCACAACCACGCCACAAATCAGCCCAGTCATATTTCTTATCGAATTAAATAACTGATACACCCACCCAACGCATCTGCAACAAAAGTGAATAATTTTCATGACCAAATTCACAACCGCACACCTGATGTATCCATGCGTGGCAGGTTGCATCCCTATTGGGCTGTCAAGCATCACAGAACCACGTAAAATACATCTGCCTAAAGCAGAAGAATTGGAAAGAAATGACATCACACCTCGCCCTAGCCTGCTGAAAGTAAATCGCGCATCTATCAGCCAAAATATCCACGTCAGATTTGACGCTTTGGTGCACGACAGTCATTGAGAAGTCAAAACAATTTCCAGAACGCATCTTGAGAATTCCTCAGTCAATTAGAGCAGGACTTCAAATCTCTGACTCGCCAATGCGTTCAACATAGGCTCGCAGCATTTTCCACAAATATCCAGTCGCACAATGACATTTCTGTCTAGACGGGCTCCTTGTCCCACCCAGGTCCACACACACACTGGACTAATACATTACAATAAATTGACCGTTTGCCCCAAACAACCCGAGGTAACCACAACTTGTGTGCCCAATCACCCTTGGACACACTACTCTCCTCTGGAGCAGAAGATGTGGCCATACCTCTCATGCAAGTCGTGAGCAGTGATTGTCATCCAACCGAACAGCCGGTAATCCCACTCCGATGATATATGGTACACATCAGTATATTGCCACATTGCGAAATTGCGCCAGTCGCTCCACTACTCCAACATCTCCAGTGCGAAGCAGGCGGACACCCCTTCGGTGCACAAACTATGGGGGTCGACACTACCTGGATGCAAGTTAGGCGAGGAGGTCAGCAGCGGCATGAACCACGACAAAGCAATCCTGGAGGAGTCAGGCTCATGGGGGAGTGTGAAGAAATATGCCAGGGCGTGACCAGCATCTGCCCAGACATGATCCCTAAATGCACCCCACCGAAGTAGCAGATACACCACCTCCATCATGCCGCGGGAAGGCCACGTGCGAAGGTGGATGGCCGGGTCGGAATCGAGCTTCAATTTCATTCGTTATTCATAGAACACCACCACACTATCAACGATGTGAATGTCATCCAACAAAATGAAATGGCTGCTCTAGAAGCAGTTGAAAAATAAGTATTCAAGCATGGCAAACACTGCCGCTTGCAGCAAAAACGGGTCCTTTGTGTGCAGGCCCACTTCCAATATCTTGATCATCAATAGAATGGGAACCGGCATATGAGAATTGGCCAGCTCTGGGCACTAGCAACGCCAAGCATGGGTGAGCAAATGCCCAGAGACCTGGTGCATCATGGAGATGGCTGCCATGCACTGAGGCAAGATGCGGATGCCCGCTGTGCCCTCCTCACACAAAAAGCGGATGTAGCAGTAGATCAAGAAAGGGCGGACAGGGAGCGCCTGGAGGTCTATAGAGGTGCAAAATTCCTGGAAACGGCCAAACTTGGCCTGCTTCGATTGCCACATGGACTCTGTGTAAAACGACAAAAACTCGGAATGCATCCATATGCAGTCCGATTGGCGAAGCCCGTCCTTGTCCAAGCCATAAAGTGGGTGATCGGTGGGCATGGTGTCCACCAGGAGCGGATCGTCCGGAGGGAGGTAGGCCACCAAGGACGGCCTCATTGTGCCAATCTTTGGGTCAGAGTCCATGGCCGAAGATGGAAGGCCCTTAGGTTCTATTTCGGTGGGGGAAGGTGACTCGGGAGACATGGGTCCCTGAGCAGAAACATCCCCGGATGACGGGGAATCATGTGCCCATCCCTCATAAGGCTCCAAAGGGGCGGCAGCCAAAGCACGGTTAGCCAATTTTGGCATGATGTTGATGGCCTCCACGGCAGGCTGAGTGGCGAGGAAGAAAGTCAGTTGTGGGAGAAGGCTCCACGGCAGGTTGCACTTATTTGCCTGCCCCATCAAGTTTTGGAGGAAGGCACCTGTTGCGGCCCCGTTGGCAGCCGCTGGTTTCCGGAGGCGTAGGGGTCGCCCTGCCCTGTGGCTCGGCTGTTGGAGGTCAGCCGGCTCTCTCCACCTCGGACGGTGGGCGTATCCGGGGCAGTCGAATCGGTGGTCGCGCGGTGGGCCCAATGCTCGACGGGGATCGATCCCCGGGGCCTGCTGTTGGCGAGAGGTGGCGGCGCAGCGAGGCGGTGGTTCACTGGCTCGCGGGAGGCCAGAGAGTGGGCCAAAACGGTTACAATGATTCACCGCATGCGCGCACACATATTGCATGCGCGATGCCCGATCGCGGGTCCATCACGGTCACATCAAGACAAGATAACACAAGTGCGCGTCCAGGCACATCGTCACCGTCCACCGTTCACCTACGATCGACCCAGTGTCCTCTAATTCCAAGCATCTCACACCCGACCCCTGGCCCTAAGTACTACGACTTCAGGAGGCCATATCTTCGCCGTTTCTTAACGGAATCGGGCGTTTAAAAGCTCGTTGGAACCAAGAAGCTCTTAATAACACTCACAAAAGTCGATTGGCCAATTACGTAATTTCCACCCCCAGAAAACGTCAATAACTGCCTTACCCCAAGCAGCCACGTCACAGCACCATTCCCGTGCTCCAACATCCAACTCCCAACATCCGTGCAAGTTGTTGTACCTTGGGCACAGGGTATTCATCACAGACGCAAAACAGCCATGGGTCTAGCAACCGAAGCACTGAGTAATCATCTAGAATATCTTTGCATTTAACCTATAGTCATCTGCCATCCAAACCTGTGAAAGCCAGTTTGGTATAATATTATCCCCTGACCGAATGTAGTTTTGGTCCAGAAATAGGTGGCAGGTGGTACAAACTCAGTGGAGCTGGCGGAGGGGACGGAGCAGGTCCTTGGAGCCCATAGTTATGTTGTGCAGGCTAGAGGTGGCCACTCAAAGATACTATCCGGTCCGTTAAGTCCGGTTCGTTAATTTTTATCAGCTGTCCGTTAAATTTCGTCAAAGAAAAAGGGAGAAAAATTCAGAAAAAACGAAAAAAATCCAAAAAAATCAAAAAAACCCCAAAAAATTCACAACAACTGCGGCTAGTTGAAAATCTAGTATGCATAGGTTGAAATAAAATACAAACACACTCTCTAATAGCGAATTCCATAAACTATAAGTATGACTAAAACCCAAAAATCCCCAAAAAAATCTAAAAATCCGTTAATTTTTGGTTAATTTTTGTCTTTTTTCGTTATTTTCCGTTAATTAACGGAAAATTAACGGAAATTAACCTCTGTCCGCTATTAACGGATCCGGGTGGCCACCTCTAGTGCAGGCAATACATGACAACTTGGGTATCTACTAATACAACTTTGTTGGTGTGGGGCGCTTGCACTCTTTAAGCCACGGACCCACCTCGCCGGGCACCTGGGTCCTTACAGAGACCTAGGCAGGACCACCTCAGCCTACTCCCATATCATATACTGGTATAAGGTCCGGTTTGGGTACTGTTACCATATCCTGGGTATGGCGTCCCCCATACTAGGAGACCATGGCAGGGCGTCCCCCACACTAGGTCTACACGCAAAATATTCGTCCCCCTCAGGGAGGTGGGACATCCCCATCCCAGTGCGTATGTATGGGAGTTGACACGTGAGTGGCATAATAACTACAATATGTAGGAAGTAGTTATGTATAAAACATATGCCCAACTGCTACCACGTTTTATAAAAACAAAAAATGTAT